CTGATACCTCCTCGGGGGCTAACGGTGCCAGCGAGCCGCGCCGACTTCTCATCCGGACTTTATCCAGACCAAGGCTGAAGTAAGGGTCGGGATCGGAGGGCCGCAACACATTCTGGTCTTGGTCCTCAACATGCGAGGATTGATGTGGTCCATCCAATTCGGTTTCAGTGAGGGTAAGTAGTGGCATTGACCGTCGCCGTGATGATGTGATCTTTACTCTATCGTCGAGGGCAAGATCACCAATAGATGGTTGCGGGTCCGCATCGTCAGACATGACAACATCGCCATCAGCTGCCGCCTGGAGCCGTGCCTGGGCAGTGCGTTGGACTTGATCCCGTACGTCACTAGGGCATTTCTCCCAAAACTCAGCAAGGACGTCACCATCGAGCATCAAACACTCGACTGAAGTCACAGATCGAACGGTGGCGGTTCTCCGAGGTGCTAAATCTAGGCTGACCACCTCGCCAAAGTACTGGCCTTGCTTCAGCCTAGCTTTGACCTCAATTCCCGGCCGTTCAATGACCCCGTTTGGGCTATTTTTGTTTGGTGACGAGCGGTTTATCTCCGCCTTTTCCGTAAGAACCTCCACTTCGCCGCGAACAATGAAGTAGAGCTCACGGCCCTGGGAATTTTGTTGTATGATGTCGGTAAATGGAGGGAAAGATCGCGGTTGGGCATTGAGACCGAGGTAGTGGAGAATATCGGCAGGCAACCCAGAAAAAAGCGGCAGCTCTTTAAGTAAGAGACGTACGTTGACCAATCCATTTGCCAATGCACTGGAGCCATCCCGCCGACCGGGACTCGGTGACTTCCTCTTCTTGTACACGGACTTGGCACTCAAGTCCCCATCATCCTCTACAACCGCTAGATCTTTTGAAAAGCTCTCGCGCAGTCTTTTTGAGCCTCTTCGTGCCGGGCTCGGCAAATCCAGTGCAGGGGCGGAAGTTTCTTTTTTCTTTTTCTCTAAGATCATCAATCGCTCCTCTGCCTCCTCCCGGATCGCCTGTTCAACCTCCGGAAACCGAGGCAATATATTCCGAAAGTCGTCTTTTGTCAACACGACCAGCATGCATCGAGTCCGGGCGATAATGGTCGCAGTGCGAGGACGGTCCATGAGCAATCCAATCTCCCCGAAGAACGCACCCGGTTTGAGTTCGGCGTATATACTCTCGCCATCCCGAGACGTGACCGACACGGCACCCCGCACCAGCCAGTATATTGCCTTTGCCTCATCGCCTTCCGTCAAGATATAATCGTTGGGGGCATGGAGCTGTGGGCGCAGGTGCTGACCGACCTCGATCAAAAAGGATTCCGGAGTAGCTTGAAACAGCGGGAAAGATCGCAAGCGATCTACCAGTTCCAAGGGCAAAGCTTTGATGTGGGAGGAGGCCAAGGGCGAGGGACGCGCGGGTCGATTTGGGTTCATGACCGAATCGAACGAACGTATGAGGGATACAGTGTCGGACAAGGGCGAGACGGCCTTGGTTGGACCGCCACTGGACCTGCCATGGCGACGCATTGTGATGTAGGTCGCGATTCCGAACGAGGAGGTGGGATAGGTCGTTCAATTATTTCTCCCAGGTATGGAGAGGTCAATAAATCGATGACGTCGACGAAAGCAGCGTCGAACTTCGCATCGGCATTTTCAGCGCCCAATTGCTATCGCGGAGTTTAACGGACAGACATGGATGTAGGGTACAGAGGAGAAGCAAATGGGAAAAAAAGGTTGGAGACGACAAGTTCGAGCTAAAGGTCTTGAGGTGGGGGTTTTCCGAATCAGCGACGTCAAACGCGGTTTCTCCACCGATCACCTGGGAGTCTTCGGAAACTCTATGAGAACCTCCACTTTGGGGTTTGGCGGAGTTATTCTAATATTCTAAACCAATATAGATCAACATAGATACATATTGGCCTTGAAGACGTTTTCTTTCTTTTTTCTTTAGTGGGGGACGTCAGCACTGAGCGGTCAATCACTATCCTTTGAACCTGCAGCATCCGGGCCGATCTTCTCTCTCTATCTTTTTGCTTATCACCGGAGACAAAGAAAAGCCGTGGACGCGAATTTGGAAAATATACAGCGTAGACGTCGATTCAGCGTCCCGAATGCGCCGGTCTACTTTATTCTATACATCTCTGTGTCGTCGTAGCCATCAGACTTGTCTTTGCGTTATATTACATTACTTCTAGGGCCACGTATCCACCCAGTACGGAGTAGTCCTAGATTAATCGTTTAATATGTTTGGATAATCCCAGACTTTAGTCCAATGCGATCCACTCACGCCACAATGGCGTTGCTAATCGAATTGCGGCATGATCATACTCCGACACAGAATCCGGCGATGGGTCACGTGTCCCTGTGTAGCACCCCAAGGGCAAAAATATTCATCTGATTTGATGCTAATTGGACAAGTGGGTATCAAAATATGCAAATAATACAAGCAACGGAGAGTGTGGCGTCAGTGTTGCTGCCAAGAAACTCGATCAGATGGAGAAAGGCCGGGGTGGTCGGACTAAATATCTCAGAGTGGCTCGATGAGGGCCTAGACATAGTAATTTGGGCGGCATTGCCTCGGACATGTGGCTCATCTCGCCAGCGTCGAATGCATACCGCCTGCAGCAGCATACATAGCAGCCATTTCTCGAACGAATGCCAAAGAGCATCCTAGGGGGTGAAATGGGAGAGCCCATAATGTTGGTTCTCGGTATCGGGAACCTGTCAAGCTTGCAGGGAGACTGGCGCATTCACACACAGAAGGATCTAGGGGGCCATTGTGATATGGGCCCACCTATGATCAGATTGATCCTTCCTTGTCGACCTTAGACCGACGGTTACCGAGGAAGAAATCAACGTAGGCAGGGCGGTTTCCTTTCAAAGTCTCAAGGGCATCTTGCAGAAGACCATAGGTCAAGCTCAATTTCAACCCGACCTTCGCTGTGCGGGCGGCAGTGTAGACGTCTTGACGAGCTGCGTGGGCAAACTAGGTCAGCGGGTTCCTCCAGTAATGATGCCCAAGCGGAATATTTTCTTACCAAGCAAGCTGTATATTCCGGAGAATGACAACCCAGCAGTGACTGTGGATAAAAAGTCTCTCTCGTCATGCCGAGCATAGTCCACTGTCTCCTCGAACAGACAGAATGCAAGTGCGCCAGCACCGAGCTTGAATCCCATCTTCATGCCATCCTTGACGCCTCCGACCACACCAATATAGTTTTTCGTTTTATGGTACTGGAACCACCCTGTCGATGTTGTGGGGAAACGATGCGCATTCTCAGCCCGAAATACAAGCCCTGCCTTTTTGCTGCCGTGATAGTACCCTAGTGCTAGCCCAGTCGAAAAAGCGGACATGGTAGCATACGGTAGCCGCTTGCCGAACTCAATTCCTAACCGTGGAGGGCTGTCGGATTCAAAGAGCTTGTCCCAGTGGACGATCTTGAGGACGATAGAATTATGCTGCGAGTCGGTAGATCGGGGGTGATCGGCCTCCATCATGAAGATTTTAAAAGAAAAATGAGGGTACTACCAACAAATTCCAAGTGTTGGCTATGGAGAACGTAGTGAACGTGAGCAACTGATGCTGGCGAAGCTCAGAAATTGGGAGCGCGGAAGTCGGAGTCCCGCCGGATTTTCCGCCTTCTGTGACACTTCCAGATCAATTATTACATGGACGCGACCGACCCTTTAATCACCGCACAATCTCCAAAATGGTATGTGAATTGACCTTTTCAAGGGTATTATCGAATATAGGATAGCTAATTACCGAGCAGCCGCCCAGACAATCCAAAACCGACTCGCGCGCGCTGACCATCCTCTTCAAGAAGCATAAAACCACTGTCCTTCTGATGCTCCAACCCCACGAATCACTCGACTTCGCCAAAGAAAGGCTTCTGGATGCACTGCAATCGCGAGAAATCACCAACGTAAACGGCGATGTTCTTCCTGATGACTCCTGCGATATAGAGTTCGGTGAACCTGTCGACCGAGCGGACCTCGCGAAAGGCTGGAAGCGCCTCCAGGCAGATGCACCAGAAATAGAGACTGAGGATGTCCCGAAGAGGAATAAGGGCAAGTCTCAAAAAGACTCAGTAACTATAATGGAGGCTGGTCTTCAGAATGGACATTCAATTGCCTTTCGCTTCCACAAATCCGGTGAGAGTCAGAATGGCGGTCTTGATATGAACCTTGATGGGGACGATCCAGGCTGGGACGTCGTCATGCCGGTCTATGACGATGAGCCAGAGGAACGAGGTTAGGGCCATTTATGACTTGCGAGAAAGGACTATAACAGAGGATACATGTCTGTGGCTTTTGGCGTTTCGGGGGGAGGGCTTTAGTGATTCAAAGCATCATATGGCGTTTGTCCAGGTGGTATTAGAACAACAGTAACAATGTTCCTCGCTCATAGCTTGTCCATAACTCTAGAGCATTTATACACACTTTATGGTAAAGATAACTGCCGTTGTTGCTTAAGTGAAATTTTCACCGTGATAGTCGACGTCATAATAGTGTCCGGATTGCCTCCTACAGCTTTTCTTCAAGCATCCAAAGGTTAATACTATAAAAAGCCTAATGACCACAATTTGGCCAGCGATCTTGAACATGGGGAAATAGTGGGGTGTGGATAGAGCAGGAAAGGCGTGTACAGCACCTGAAACACATAACGTATCGTGTGACTGGGAGCTCTTAGTATTGAAACACTGGTATTGCCACGCCCAAAGGGCGAAACACCATTGTAAAACGGTTGCTCAGAGCAACCAATGGATGACAACACGTACATGCATCAACAAATCAAATCGTTTCAAGGAGCCCCCTCGGAGAATACCTGCACCCCCTACCCCATACAACCTTAGATCCATTCTTCGACTCCTCTACATTCCTTATCTTCGACAACTAACTATACTTCCCCGTTGGCCTTGCCATTGTAGGGTGTCGCCAACTGCCTGACGTACCGGCCCGCAAAACAGCTTCGCGACTTGGGGTTGATCCGACCCGACCTTCCAATATGGCTGCCTCCGACGGCGCTTCCTCGATCAGCGTTGCAGTCAGAGTCCGCCCTTTTACTATCAGGGAGGCAGCCCAGATCACACGATGTGACGAGGGTCCTCTGTTCCTCGGCGACGGTTCCCTCGCGGGTGCGCCGACACCGAAGCTTAACCAGAAGGGTATACGATCTATCGTTAAAGTAATTGACGACCGCTGCTTGTGAGTATTCTAAGCATTTTGAAGATCGGGTCCAAAATCCTAACTGGACTAGGGTGTTTGACCCCCCAGAGGACAATCCTGTCCAAAAGTTCTCTAGGAGCGTGGTACCAAATGGTAAGCGTGTCAAGGACCAGACCTTCGCCTTCGATCGCGTCTTCGACCAAAATGCCTCCCAGGGAGAGGTATACGAATCTACAACACGCAGCCTGCTCGACAACGTGCTCGATGGATACAATGCAACGGTATTTGCGTATGGAGCTACTGGATGTGGAAAGACCCATACAATCACCGGGACTGCCCAACAGCCCGGCATCATCTTTCTGACTATGCAGGAGCTGTTTGAGCGGATTGACGAACGAGCGAGTGAAAAGTCGACCGAAATTTCTCTCTCCTACCTCGAGATCTATAACGAAACCATTCGTGACTTGCTTGTCCCTAGTGGTAGCAGTGGAAAGGGTGGATTGATGCTGCGGGAGGATTCCAACCAGTCAGTGTCAGTTGCTGGGCTGTCAAGTTACCACCCGCACAATGTGGGTGAGGTAATGGACATGATCATGCAAGGAAATGAACGCCGCACCATGTCTCCTACCGCAGCAAATGCTACTTCATCCCGATCGCATGCCGTCCTTCAAATCAACATCGCGCAGAAAGATCGAAATGCGGACGTCAACGAGCCTCACACAATGGCGACTTTCAGTATCATCGACTTGGCGGGAAGTGAGCGTGCCAGCGCGACACAGAACAGAGGAGAGCGTTTGTTCGAAGGCGCCAATATCAACAAGTCTCTGTTGTCCCTGGGAAGCTGCATCAATGCACTTTGCGACCCGCGGAAGCGCAACCACATCCCCTACCGTAACTCAAAGCTCACTCGGTTACTCAAGTTTGCTCTTGGTGGCAATTGCAAGACAGTCATGATTGTCTGCGTCAGTCCCTCAAGCCAGCACTTTGATGAGACCCAAAATACTCTTCGATATGCGAATCGAGCGAAGAACATCCAGACCAAGGTGACACGGAATGTCTTCAACGTTAATCGACACGTGAAAGACTTTTTGGTCAAGATTGATGAGCAGATGAATTTGATCAATGAGCTCAAAGCCCAAGCAAAGGACTATGAAAAGGTGGCCTTTGCTAAATTCCGCAAGCAGGGTGAGAAGAAAGACGCTGTTTTGCGCGAGGGTGTTGCCCGGGTTCGCAATGCTTACGAACACACGTTGCCCGAGAGGCAAGAGAGAACCAACAACATGCTGAAACTACGACAAATTGGCCGCAGAATTGGCATTTTATCGTCTTGGATTGCAGCTTTTGATAATGTTTGCGCCGCGCGTGAAAATGAGGAGGGATTATCGAACCTTTATGCCGTTCGCAAATCTGCGCAGGGAATCCTCCTTGAACTGGAAGGTAGCAGGCATCATTACAACCAGAAATTATCAAAAAGTACCTGGGACCGAGCGGTGACCTCGGCGGTCGACAACTCGGCAAAGCAGCTTCAAGAGTTTGATATTACGGATAACAGCGATTACGCCAATTTGAACCGAGAAGCAGATCTTCTTCGGTCAAATGCGGAGCGCGAAGCATTGACAGCTGTGATAGAACAGGACAAGGCCGGGGAAGCTGCTGCTGTACAGCTTCTGTTGCAAGCACAGTTCGAGATGATGAGCTCCATCGAGGATATAATGCAGCTAAACGCAAACGAGGCTATTAAAAAGGGCCGGACGATCCTTACAAAGATGTTAGAGGATTGTTCAGATGCAGCAACAAACCTCGTCAAACCAGATGGCACCATGCCGTCTGTCCCGAACAGCAGCTCTGCCAAGCCTGCAAGCCCCACGAAAACAAAGAAACGCTTCAGCTTGGTGAACTTGCCACCAGCATCGACTGCCAACCCTCCAGTCACATTCACCACTGCTGCTCCACCTTCACCAACTAAAGGCTCTCCACGTCGCCGTAAAGGCGCCGCTGGCCGGAAGAGCGTCAGCTTTACGCCAAAGAAAATCCAGGTAAAGGTTCCCAAACGATCCGTCCGATGGAAGGACGATGAGGAAGAGGGCACTTTGACCGAGTTCCAAAAGACTCCCAAGAAGGTCGACTCTGCCGAGGAAGGCAGCTTTGAAGAGTCATGGTTGCCACCTCGATCGGGATCTCCCATTCCACGAAATATCCCGAGGGCTGTAAGCCCATCGGGTTCAATCTCTTCCAATCCTGATGAGCCTGCCGAATCCGCCGGGCCTACCTTGAACGTTCAAAAGAACAACAGTCGCTTTAAGGCAGGATTTCTGACCAAGAGAAATGGCAGCTCATCGTTGGCACCACCACCGTCATCCAGCCTTCCTCTTTCAAGAAGAGAGAGCTCCCCGCTTCGTGATATTGAAGGAAGCAGCTTTATGAACCGCACCTCGACAGACCGTCCATCACGGATTGCTGTTCGTAGTCCCAGCGGGAACTTCTCGAGCAGTCCGGTATCTGAAAACAGGGACAACTGGAAGTCGGACAAGGAAGAAGCAATCAAGATCAATTCAGCCATGCGACGTATGTCTAGTGGGCGGATTACTAGTGGACAGTTTAGCACTCAATCCTCCAATGCCCTGCGAGTTCACCGTCGTCGCAGCCCGACTTCCAATACCTACGGAACCCCGCCAGGAGACAACCATATGTTCACCGCATCACAAGCGCGGCGCATGGTCAAGAGCGAGAGAGAACATGATGCCAAGCCTCGGGTCCTGAGTCCTCATACTCTCCCAGTCATGAAGCACACGGGACGCCGCACCACTTTGGGCGGAGATGGTCGACCTCGAAATATCAGCCTATCCAGCAGAGACGCTATCCGTCTTAGTGCTATGGCAGCACCCCCTGCTGACCACAACTCACAAGCGTGGTAATGGACTCTGGTGATGACTTGAAATTATCCATGAATGGCTTTGATTTTGTTCTCAATTGTTTGGAATTGGCGTTTTGTTGGCGTAGCAGATACCACATCCCTTTTTGTACATTCGTACGACAAAATTATTATTTATAATTTTGTCCTGTCATTTCTGTTTGTTCGTGCATTGTCGGTGTTCAGCTTGCAGCTCTTTGTACAATAACCATAACAATCGGATAGGGTTGTCGGAAGCCCTAATTTTCAACCCCTTCCGGATTTCCGCGATGCTTTGTAAAGAAATGACGCCATCTCGAAGTTCCAGTTCTGGAGCTCCCTTTCCACTTCTTCTCCTCGTTTAACCTTCTCTTTGCTTTTCATTCTTTCATTCTTACATCTATTCTCCTGAAACTACTCCCTTTCCCCTTTCCATTACTGCCACAGCACCCTGTACGGCCCCTTTCACTGCCGAACCCCCGACTATCCCCACTTATCAAGTACGTCTCCACCACCAGAATTTCAGATGACTTTCGCCGCTCCGGTCGCCTCGAACCTTTTCTCACGTTTCTTCCGTTCTTTTTCCACCAGCTCGGCTTTTTCCCTGACCCCAGAAACACAATCCCGCAGAATGTCAGGCACAGAGACCGCGACCGTAGCAGCCGGCTGCTTCTGGGGTGTTGAGCACTTGTATCGCAAGAATTTCGGCAATGGCAAAGGTCTCCTCGACGCCAAGGTGGGCTACTGCGGTGGCGCAGTTTCGTCACCATCCTACCGAGCTGTCTGCTCTGGTACAACTGGCCGTAAGTGCTGCAACAATAACGCGGAGTTCCTCCAAATACTAATTTATTTTTGCCCCACCACAGACGCCGAGGCCCTCCGCATAGTCTTTGATCCTTCAATTGTCACCTACCGCCAGCTCCTCGAATTCTTCTACCGCATGCACGACCCCACAACAGAAAACCGACAGGGTCCGGATGTTGGCACACAATACCGCAGTGCGATCTTTACGCACGGGGAAGAGCAGCAGAAGATCGCGGAGGATATCACAGACAAAGTCAGCAAGCAATGGTATAAAACACTGCTTTCTACCAAGGTCCTGCCGGCAGGGCAATGGTGGGATGCGGAGGAATATCACCAGCTGTATCTTCAGAATAACCCTGCTGGGTATGAGTGTCCTGCTCAGTATGTGTCCCTGCCCTTCCCAGTTCCATTTGATCAGGATGCTAACTTCTTGCTTTTTAGCTTTATCCGACCTTTCCCTCCTTTGTCGGATTGACTAGGTTCCAAATTGTGATTTATTTTAGCTCATGTCTTCATAATGTCCACGCGAAAATTGCAATACAAAATTCAATGCCTATAATATGGAACTTTGCGCCTGCACATGGTTTCTCCTTAGGCCCTGGTTGGTGCTTAAAGCTGCCTATAGATATTTGTCTCCTACAGGACCAGTTGGGAATAATTGAAAATGTTTAATAATGCACTTGGTGCTATGAATACAAGAGGCGATAACGATGTCAACCTCCTACTTTAGTGAATGAGTTATGGCTTTGGGGGTTGATCTTCTCTTGGTTTATCTGGCACAAGCTTGTATATATGCAGAAGGGAGGGTACCTAGGTAAGGCTATAAGTTATTATATCATCTCCCTAGGCCACTATCACTCCAGGGCTCACTCTAAAGGACTGCTTAATGACTGCAGTCGTACTTGATAGCTACAAGAAAGCTTCACTTAAGATAGCCGTGAGTTCGACGTTCTCTTCCGGTTTAACATTCATGACTATTTCCGAACAACCTCAACTTTTAGTCTGTTCACATGGTGAGTCTCGCCACTAGGGCTCACCCCTTCGATCGTCCCCAGACAGATATCTAACTCAGGAATGTGGAAGTGTTTCCGTCCATAACAAATCCAGCACAAGATACTCAACAGAGTGATTCCACACACGACGGCAGACACGTAGTTCATATTTCCAGCCTCGAAAGGAAGAGTGTAGGGAAAGCAGTAGATGACTAGCGAGACACCAGTCCAAACAACAAGCAGGGTGTTTGCGATGTAACCGAGCTTGGGAAACCAAAAGGGCCCGTGGGGGATTGTCGTTCGACCACGTAGATTAAGAAAGATGACAGGAATACTGTAGCTGATCCATTGGAAGAGCAGAGAAGCTGAGACCAAGGAGTTGAAAGCGGTGGAAGAACCGAGATATAGGAAGCCCAGGAGCGCCGTGGCAAAAGAGGAGAATACCAAAGCATAAACTGGAGTCCCATAAGGAGGACCAGCAATCCGTTCTAGGTATTCGCCGAAAGGAAAACCTCGATTATATCCAATTGTCCACGCAAGTCGAGACTGCCAGACATGAATACCCCATAAAGCTCCAATGCTGGAGACAAAGACAAGTACTTGAATGACAATAGCAGCGCCTTGATTTTGACCGAAGGCTTGAAAAGTGATGGTGAGTGATGAATACCCCGTGTCGTAGTCGTCAGTAGCGAACATGTAAGCACACAAGCAAATCATGCCAGTGACAAACCCCACAGCAATGGACCACATAAGAGCTCTGGGAATATTGCGCTCGGGCTTTGGGATTTCATCAGCAATGTGGACCATGGAGTCTAGGCAGCAGTAGCACCACTGCAGGCTGTTGACCCCGATGAGAACCGCCATGCCGTCGGGCCACCCGGAACTGTGATGGAACACGGTGAAGAACTCGTGCGCTGATCGACGGTTTTTGGCGGCTGCGAATAGTGCAACCAGTAACCCCACAAGTAGCAGGGCGGTAAAAGCCATTTGGCTTTTGGTGACTTTGTTGAGAAGCTTTCCGTAGAAGCTCGGGATCAGGGTTAAGATATTGATAGCTTGATAAAAAAGGAAAACCATCCACGGTTTTACGTGAAAGTGAGGATTGAAAAACTCGACTAGGTCGAGGATCAACTCAGCGCCGACCAGACATACTGAGGCTCCAGTGCAAACAGCTCCAGCCCAACTATATATAGCCACTATATACGAGAAGAACCGGGATAACTTTGGAGGTGCAAGCCGTGCTACCCAGATATATTGACCGCCAGCTTCGGGATATGCTGATGTCAACTCACCGAGACTGGTTGCAGCCCCGAGAGCGATGATTGACATGATAGGAAAGCCGTAGAACAGTAGCATGGACCCCCCATAGGTGATTGTGCTTGCAAAAGTCAACACGATACCAATCGCGCTGTTGGTGGTGATAGCGCCAAGAGCGATTGCAGACCAGGAGTCGAATTCCTTCTCTGGACTAGCACGATGCTGTCGCACCCTCGCATTTGATTCTTCGGGGTCAGACATGACGACAAAAGGCGGATGCGTAGGAACGAATGAGTAGAGGAAGCTTTGGCGAGCCGCAACAGGGTGGAAAATGACAGGAGGGTCGAGTCGTCGAAAATGAGGCCAGAATGCGTTCTGGCGACAATTGGAAGGGTACGGCCACTCCATCTACTTATGATATATTTCAGTCATGCCCAGCAGCCCGGCCAGCCCCATCTAAAGTCAAAGTTACTTGTGGGTCGGGTAGGTCTGGGGTATGCGCCACTGGCTATTTCGCATCTAAGGAACACCTAAGGATAACAATGTAGGAAGGATGTCGTGGAGACGGGCGATCGGTTAACGTCCGTTTCGAGGCAAAGTGAGCTCAAAGGTCAGTGACCGAAACGCCGTCATCTCGGACCGAGGTCTTACTAGCATTGTCAGTCTTTCAGCCTCAGTGTTGATGCTTTCCCGATTCGGCCCCGAGGCTATTAGAAGGTCATTCACTCGTCTCCAAGAAATCTAGCTTTAGCGTTTTATACTCTTTCGGAATATTTGCGAGGTGACCCCGCCTTTGACCCAGGCTGTTGACAACCCATGACTTGAGTGGGCTCAACTTGTAAACGCTAGCGCGCCACAGGGCTTCTCACTCATCGCCTCCCTGGGTCATGGCGTACCAACGTTAATCTCCCACGCGCGGAATATAAAGCATCTCCTAGGATTTCTGAACTGATAAGTATGCAAATAAGGCGAATGCCCTGGCGACGCGCTATCCGGTCGCGCTAGTTAAACTTTAATTTCTCTCGTTTTTCTCACGCTGGAGGCGCCGCACCGTAAGGAGCATAGGATTACTCGAAGAATCAAGGAGGTCTCTTATCATCATATATGGATACATTGTGACGGTATCATATATCCGTCTGAATGTGACAGAGATCAATTTATGGCACCGCGTTATCCTCCCAGCGTAAGTTGGTCTTACCCGTGCTAGGAGGGATATTAGAAAAGTGCTTTTGAATCTGCCGATGGTTCAGACCTTGTCTCCCTAGCTCGCATAGACGAGACCGTTAAGGAGCGAATAATTGCTCGCCTCAGGGCATAGTAATATGTTGAGGTAGGCGTTGAAAGGAAGAATTTGCATGCAAAAGTGGCTGCAAAACTGCCTATTTGAGTTAGTCACGACTCGATGAGTTGAGTCGGATTCATACTTTTTGCCCCCATCTGGCTCTTCAGAGATGCTAAAACGCAAGCAAAGTTAGATTGACATGTTTTCCATGGTCAAGTATCTCGAATTGCTCTTCAATGGTCAGAATCTCACACTTGCGGACTAGGTTTCATTCAGGCTAGAAATTAAAGCATCAAACCACCCACGAATGGAGGCTGACGTCCGTTATAGAATAATAAGATACGCCCTTCCCACCCCCGTCGTTGTGCATGTACAGAGGAAATCCATGGCATTCACGCTGTGAATGTAGATCCATAGAAGTCGGATCGACCTCCGTATAAGCCATAGTACGACGCTCAAGCCGTAGGAAAGAGTACGAAAGCGGATTCAGGTCGGACCCCGGTACAGGTTCAAGAAGTGTTATCGCTAGAACCTAGTGACTGCTCAAATAAATCACATGTCTTCACCCCTAAGCCCATATCGTTTAATGAATCCTCCAACCGTCTGTAAGTTCTGCTGCTCCTTCGGAGCGTTCCTTGCCACAGCACCAGCTTTCTTAAGCTCTCTGGCAGCGGTTTGATCGACTGGCTTGCCGTTGCAGTAATCGCCCTTAACGAACTCAACGTACTTCCGGATAGCATTTACCTCGGCAGATTTCTCCGGAGTTGATGCCTCGTTTGGCTTGGTTCGCTGCAAATAGCGCGCTTTAGTCGTCCCAGACACCCTGTTATACGCGTCCGCGAAACCTTGGAAACTCAGAGGCTGTGAGACAGCCCATACCGTCTGCTTGTCCCACGAGCCAGGGTCCAGGAAAACGCCGTGAACAATGTCGCCATAGTCATCGCGTACTGAGGTGAATGGCGTTGACTCAGGTGTATTGCCTATAGGAAAAAGGTCAATGGTCAAGTAACTGGCAGGATCCTCCAAGCGGGCAAACCCGCCAAAAGCCTTTTCGTAGGCAGGATTCCAGAAGTTCTCCATCATCCACCCCACATTGACGTTGACAGTGGACCGGAATCCCGCTTGCTTAGCGTAGTCGGAAATATTATTCTTGTGAAAATTCGTCTTGATATTTATAGTGCCATTTGTAATCTTTGCGACTTCTGGTAGACCGGCATATATGAAGACTTGAACCCCTTCCCTTGTCTTTGGGCGGCGTCCACAACATTCTTACCCATCTGGGTCTCGGCCAAGTCACCATCTCCAGCAAACTCTGGGGCATCACTATTTGTGTTTAAGAAGACACCCCAAACACCTTTGAACGTAAGGTCGAGCTCGCCAGCATTCCAAGAGTCTGCCTTGATAACCTCGGCACCAAGTGAGTTCAGATACTGGGACTTTTCACTGGTCGGGTTCCGTGTTGTGACTCTGACGTGAAAATAGGCATCTTGGAGCAAAGACAGAGCGACGGACTTGCCTACCTGACCGGTACTGCCAATGACGGCGATGGTCTTCGTAGATTTCATCTTGTTTGCGTTTTGACAAAGATGAAACGAGATTGATAATGTTAAGGAGAAACCTGTTGATGGAATCAAACACCACCGACGGGATTTAAGTATCACAGTGGCCGCAGAACATGGTGGCTTACCTATTATTCCCTGTTAGATCGCATATTGTCTGATTCAGGCAATGGGCTCGCGCTCGGCGGAGCCATGGCGTGGGTTTAGGGAGTTTTGCTAGTAATCTGTTTTACGAGCTCTCTACATGGCCTCGGAATTTGACAACAATACGAAACTATTGGTGGGTCAATCCCCTCATCTCCAGAAATCTAGGCTTAGCGTTTTATACTCTTTCGGAATATTTGCGACCGCCTGGCCCAGGCTGTTGACACTCTATGACTGAGCCGGCTCAACTTGTAAATGCTACTGCACGATACTATTGAAAGAGAAAATTAGAATTAGTAATCGGTTAATGTCTGTTTCAAGGCAAAGTGTGCCTGGTAGGTGCGTGCGGCCGCGTGCGATCTCTTGGGGTCTTCAGCGGTGGCCATGGCACCTGCGGAGTTGACGCTTTCTCGATTTGTTGCTGAGGCTAAAGGTGAATCGGTCCACTGGCAAGGAACAGCCCCGCGAATAGCTGGCCTTGGCGGCTTAACCTCTTTTAGAACAATTGCGAGGCAATTTAAGCTTGTGTAAGTCCTTGGCATCTTTTGGCTGGCCCTCTCGCGTTTTAGGCGTTTGGACATATTGTGGTAACGTACGACAAAGCCTTCCTCGGATCTATATAGCCTTGCTGTCGCCGTACTATGATCGATCCCGCACGCCAAGTATAAAAGAGTTTCCGGGCTTGTTCTACCGACAAGAGTTTCCAGGTCCGAACACCTCGAAAAGACCAGAAGACTGCAGTGTGTTACACAGGCCACCCGTTCACCATGGTCAAGGTCACAATCCTCGGGGCGGGGTAAGCACTACGCCAAGGGGCTTTTCGTGTGTCATACATGCTAACTTGCGTCATCTTCATAGAGTCACTGGCATGACTATTGCTAGTCAACTCCCCATCGATTATGGAGTCACCATACTAGGAAAACACCTGCCTGGAGATCTTGACAGGAGCTGGGCCAGTCCTTGGGCTGGAGCAGTATGGGTTGGAGTGCACAATTCCAACATGGAAGATCAGAAAACTCAGCTTGATGGATTCACTGGGCTGTGGCATCTTGCTGAAAAGCACCCAGAGTCGAGTGTTCACAAGGCCGAGATGACGGAGATATGGATATTGGATCCCCCGACGATGTTTGGTATCAGGGCAAGGTGCCCGACTTTCGGTTCCTCTCCAAGGAAGAGTTGCCACCAGGAGCAAAGTACGGCATGAAGTATAAGACGCTGGTTACTACGCCCCAGGTTTTCGTTGCGTGGATGCGGCAGAGACTTGAGGCACGAGGGATCAAGTTCGTACGAGCTAATGTGCTCGCTCTGGGGGACTTGAAGGACCTCGGCCACGACATTCTCATCAATGCTTCGGGGCTTGGATCCGCCACCCTCAATGACATCCGGGACCCTCACCTGATCCCTTATCGCAACCAGTCTCTCGTCATCCGGGATAGCAACTATCAAGGTCTCTATATCCGACGAGGGCCCGACGGCTACTATTCTACTGCGGTTGCACGACAAGATGGAAACGTCTACATGGGTGGTTTGCTCACTGCCAATAGCACAGATATTGCAGCATCAGAGGAGACCCGTAACAGGGTAAGCTGATACGTACACCGTCCGGACTGTCCGGCCAAAGCAGATCAACGTCCATATGCTCATCGGATACAGATCATCGCCCGCGTTCACAAGAACCTGCCGCAGTATTTCCCATCCCCAAAGATTGAGGACTACGATTTCATTTTTGACCATGTCGGGTACTGGCCGTCGCGTCTCACCGAGAATGGTGGCAACAGGGTCGAGAAAGAGGTCCTTGATGGCCAGAGAGTCATCCACGCCTATGGCCAGTTCGCTGGTGGATACGTCAACGGCTACGGCATTGCTCTGAAGGTTCGGCGACTCGTGGAGGAGTTCCTATATCCGTTGGCTAGACTGTAGATTATCCACGGGGCTCCCTGTTAACTACATTTCTTGACTGACTGACATCCTCTGTCTATGGCTCTTGTATTTCCTGCACCTATCCAGGTATCATGATCCGAAGCCGAGCCAGTGTAGAGTGTCAACCCAGCTTCCTTTTCCCTACAATGGATCATAGGCTTCTGCGGTCTCCAGATTTCATGCCATGAGAATGTACTCATAAATAAGATTTGCTGGGGCTACTAGAAAATGAGCATCTGAGCAACTGGGGGAAAACAAGAAGAAGCTGCTGCATTCCAATCCATAAAAGAAAGGCCTTTCATAGACCACAAAAAAAAACAAAGGCTCAGTCTGAAAAACCAGGTATCCATGCACCTATGGGAGATGGGATCATGCAACCCCCCCCCAAGACTGAGAACCAAGAGCACACAAGACAATCTGGTATGCGTAGTAAAAATTTGCGTAAAAAGCAGGTTTGAAAGTGGTCGTTTGTGTCAATTTGTATTTGCTCGAGCAACGGGCTCTGGCAACGGCCCTGGCGACGGGCTCTCTGGCTCTTTGAGCGGCGGGGTAATCTTGTAAGGGTTGAGGCTTTCTATTTTAGGAAGGTCGATAGGTTGGTTGGCGACGACGGTATCGTGCTCTTCGTGCCACTTCCGGTTGGCCGGCCGGGTGCTTGCGGCGGCAGGTTGTTGGGCTATTTCAGCTATGAGGAAAGAGATGCAGATTCAGCAGTCTTCAAGAGGCTGATATCTGTCGAAGAAAGATCATGACCATCCAAAACTGATGGATAATGAGAGATATTACCCAAATTGAAGGACCCATTGCTTGAGCGTCTGCAACTCCATCCAAGACATAGCGATTCCAAAGTCCCGCAACACCCAGAGCTCCTCGAGCAATTCGATGGCCCATATGTTTACTTGGAGTCGATTGCGCGAGAACAAGCCCTTGGACAACTCAATTACCCTTTCTCGTGTATCCATGTCGCTGTCTGTCAGCTCTGCGCCGGCAGTAAGCAATGGAATCGCTTGGTAGTTGATACACGCCGAATCGAGAGGCACGCCGAATATCGCGTCTAGACACTTGAGTGTATACTCTCGAAGTTGAGCTTCAGCTTGAACCTCGAAGGCTGGTTCCGGTGCCTTTGTTTTGTCGATGGAAGTCTTGCCAACCTGCTCGCATACTCTGCCCAGCATAATCAGACCGTGGTATTTGAAAGAGTCGTCCATGTAAATATGGTCCTGTTCCTGGCATATGGGCTGCCAAGAAATCAACTGTTCGGAGAGTGCAATTTCGAGAGCTTCGTCTCGTTGTTGTGGATGCTCATAAACTTGTCGACAGTAGCGTCCAAGTCTAGATAGGATATAGAATAGTCCTGTAGAGAAGACTACCATTGGATGGAAACTAGAATGTATTTCTTGGAGAGCCAAGGAAAACTCAGTTGGGTCAAGCGGTAATAGACCATCCACGGATGCTATCAAGGAACAAGCCATATCCCAATGGATGTACCACCCGAGGAGGAATGTTGTAATTGAATCCAACCGTGTCTTTTCGTCTTTGAGGAGTTTATCGAGTATGACTCTTCCAGCAACTAAATGCTCTTGACCGTATGTGTGTGGCGAGGCCTCAACCCATGAGGCAGAAATACCCAAGACAAAGATGCTGAGGACAGACGCAGGGGAGATGGGACTGCCGGCGGTGTGTTCCTGGAGGTCTTTGCGGAGGAGTTCAAGTGCGAGGCCACGTTCTCTCAAGCAGAGATCAAGACTTGACTGCTGGAAGAAAACTTCATAGCCGGCACTGACACTCTGCACCGCATGCAGTAGGCAGGGGCTCTCGGCCAAAAGAGGAATCAGAGGAAACGACAAGGGATTGTGATCTGGGTTCATGGTGAGGATATTGCTGGCGACCTCCATCCAGAACTGCAGTAAGCGCGCATTGGGGCGGGTCTTCCAAGGGTTCAGTCCTGGATTGGCAAGCCAGGGTATTTCTGTGCGCCAGCCGATCGGTCGGGCTTTGGGATGGCAGACGGTGCCGCGACGTTGACAGCGCAGACATACAGGAAATTCCTCGCCGCACTTAACGCGGCTGTTTCTGCACTCTTTGCAACCAAAGCGACTCCGGATTGTCTGCCGATTTTGGCCCGAAGCAAGTCGAGGTATGCTATCTGCCCGCTCAGTGCCACTCGTAGCAGCAACCGGGACATCCAATAGGCTGGGGGCTGAATTGATAAATCTAACGTAATACTTTCGGCCAATAGCGGGACAGTTAATAATTGAGATCTGTGCGATTTAAGATCACTTAAGAAGAGAGAAGGAATGGAGGGAAAAATGGAATAGAATTGGCAACCTCGCTTGATAGCCCAAATAGGCAAGTGAGCTTAAGTTGCGTGCGGGGTCATCGATAGGACGAGATCTCGGGGGCAACGGTCCTTGAACGCCGGTATCGCCCCGATAACAGTTCCAGGCATCAAAAGTGCCATGAACAATTCATCATTCTGCATGCTCCGTTATCTACCGATCCGAGATTATAAGAGGTGATGACGATGTCAACCTCCTGATCTAGTGACTGAGTTTTGGCTTTGGCGGTTGATCTTCTCTTGGTTTATCTGGCACAAGCTTATATATATGCAGAAGGGAGGATACCCATGTAGGTAAAGCTATATGTTATGAATAGTTAATAAAGCCCTTGACACTTGGATTCCAATCGTGTGGAATGCGGGAACAAGACGCACCACTGTCCCACTGCCGCTGTAGATAATTTTCCTGGCTTAGCGGAGATGTGAATTGTCGCTTCATTGGACCGTGGGTCCCGAATATTTTGCTGCGTCGTGTAGGGCTTAGCGCGACTCCTATATAGTGCTTCGCATAGATCCGAGGATATTGACCGATTGTGAGATCAGATCGATAGGGAGCTCCCCGGGCTCATAGCCTATTAAGATCTACGTGGTAGATGAGATCATGAAAGAAGTACAATATGGTTGTATTGTATGAGATGATAGTCACAGAGTATGAAGAGAAGAAAGGGTAGACAACTATCTACATGGGAGATCACGTGACATTTGAGAGATTTCAACAAAATATGCGTTTGGAGAATATCACTGGCACTCTCTGTTCGGCACGTAGAGCGGAGGCTGCCATTCATTTCCCTCTTCAGTTGCGCCAAGACGACCTATCTATCGCCGATCAAGACAACTCATCCAAGGCCACCCAGAAAGGCATTTATCGAAGAGGCTGGAGATCCGCTGTAGACCCTAACAATGATTATGGCTAGAGAAGAGATGCATCTAAACTCCGCGTTGATTTTCAATAATATATCACGAGCAAATTCGAGATCGTCCTGATGGTCTGTAATCAGATAACTGGAGCTTTCGCTGTATATGAGGGCTTCCAGTGTATTCGACTTAAGTGCACTCATCTTGAAGAAGCCGCAAATCCTGCAGACTGCCTTCTGTGAGCCTGATTTCTCCTGACTGACCATCTATCCTTTCTGTGGCAGGAAAGGTGATGCGTAAGTGGGGCAGGAAGCTTGCATTGACAGAGCCGATGCACGTTATAAAGGATTTCAGAAGTTTGCCTCGGTAATTTGCTAGTTCCACTTCCTCGAGGGTAAAACGATTCACGCCATATAAGACAGCTAGCCCTGGCCGTAGTCACGTGGGTGGCTGCGCATTATTATCTTATCTAATCTTATCAGGCACATGGCGTCAACTCCGTCCACGGGTGGAGGACGGCGCGCTGTCAGCCTCGGTCTCAGCCCTCGGGCACTTCCTCCCAACAGAACAGTCTCTTCCAACTCACTGCAGTCGTCTACCCTTGCTAGTCCCTCCCTTCATTGTTCTCGGCATCAGTAGGTAGTCAATATCGCATCAGAACACCTTTCCAGTCTTCGACGGAACTTGGTTGTTCCAGGTGACTGCCCGCAATCGCAACCATGGCTCTGTACAACCGAACTGTGGATTTCCTCTCTGGTGCCTTCTCAAACAACCAGACTCATCTACCCTTGCTAGCAGCGACTGGGGCTTCTTTCACACTTGGTCTACTAGCTCGATCGCTTTTCCCTCGTAACGAATCGTCCCAGGCTGTTCTGGTCTCGCCTCGATCTACAGTCTTGCCCCGTATATCCGAGTCAGAGAGACGCCAACTGCCCCTCCCGGCTGATGTCCTGCCCGGTGCTCGTGATGTCGATAGCCCGTACGGGTCGATCCGAGTTTATGAATGGGGCCCGGAAGATGGACCCAAGGTGTTGTTGGTACACGGTATCACCACGCCGTGTATCTCGCTCGGCGGGGTGGCCCATGCGCTGGTGGACCGCGGCTGCCGTGTGATGCTCTTCGACTTGTAGGTGTTGCATAAAATGGAACACTTCGATTTATGGCTGACCCGAAGAAAATAGGTTCGGAAGAGGATATTCCGACTACCCTGCTGATCTTCCACAAGATGACCGCCTCTTCTCGACACAGATCCTTCTCGCTCTTGCATCATCGCCTATGTCTTGGACAGGGGCAGAGTCCGGTAAATTCTGCCTTACCGGGTACTCTCTGGGAGGTGGCATTGCTGCTGCCTTTGCATCCTACTTTCCTCAGCTTCTATCGTCGTTGGTGCTCCTAGCTCCTTCGGGGTTGCTCCGTGATTCGCAAATCAGTTTCCAAAGTCGACTCCTTTACTCAAAAGGTCTTATGCCTGAGAATATCTTAGCATGCTTGGTTACCCGTCGACTGAAAGCAGGCCCCTTGACCACGCCCAAGCCCAAAAACAAGAAGCTCAATGCCGCGGATGTTCTTACCGAGGAACTGCCTTCTCAACGCGCTGCAGCAACCCAAATTCTGTCCCGAGAATACCCCCACATCAAAATCCCGTCTACCGTGGCGTGGCAGGTGAATAATCATATTGGGTTTGTCCACGCGTTCATGTCTAGCATGCGTTATGGCCCAATCCTACGAGAGCGTCAATGGAACAGTTGGACTCGTCTTGGCGAGTATTTAACTGCACAGAACGGCGCCCCAGGCAACGAAAATAAGAAACTGGCAGACAACAAAGTCCACATTCTATGTGGTAACAATGATTCAATCATTGTCAAAAGTGAGCTTGTTCCAGATGCCACGGCTGCCCTGGGTGGTAACGTTGTCTTCAAGTTCTACGAAGCGGGGCATGAGTTCCCCAGTACCAAGTACGAGGAAGTAGCATCTTATATCTTCGAGTTGCTATGAACAAGGATTACACGGAATCTATTCACTCTTGAGCGGGAGGTTTTGGATATATTTGCTTTCATTGGTCTCTGGTTCATTCCCATTTGGTAGACCCACTATACATAGAAGCTGGTGTTGGACTATTCATTTTTTTATTCATTTGCTTCTATTTCCTAACTTCCAGTCTTCAGAATCTCCTCCATGGCACTGAGTTGACTTGATAGCCTCGTGAGGTGTGCTGATCTCTCTTGCATCCGCGCCCCGGCAAAGTAAGGGCCCTCGGAGGCTGGTGCTCGTGCAAATCGGTCCACACTGCTGCCGCTGCTTCCTGGCACTTGGCTGACGTTGCCTTGGCTTACGGCGTTGGTACTGGTGCCGTTGGCAACACTGCGAGAAAATCCGGTTAGTTGGCTGATAAAGATGTATTTGAATATAGATATACTCACGGTGTGGTTACTGGCTCCGGAATAGACATGGTGTATGGCTGGTTGTTGTGATAGATGTGAGGCTCTCACAGGAGGTTCAGAGGAATCAGAGAGTCAAGTCACTGCGAAGATTCCCAGTAAAAAGAAGGAGGCTCGGGGTAGTGTGGGTGTTCAAGAGCGAGGTATGCGCTTGGTTTTGATCGGTATGTTTAGAAATGAGCTGTAGAGACGATGAATCGCTGAGCTTCTGAGTTGATGATGACAACGATACAACTGAGCAGGACCTCCTCCTATATATACACTGCAGGTCTGACACTATGCATGAGGAAGGCATGCCTTTGCGGCCGAACACGCGAGCTTGAGCTTCGCATCATGGCCCACATGGACAGTACAAGTTAAATGAAGGAGGAAACGAGGAAAAGATCTTCATCTACTGCATTAACTCCACCTGCCACGGGCCTATGGTGGTATCTCGACCCTTGAGCTCAACGTTCGCCAAGACTCAGTCCGCATGAACGATGCCAGTTCTGGGATTCCGTAAACGGCAAAATCCGAGGGTCCATAGCAAAAAGCACATACCCGTTGGGTCCATCTATGCAAAACAAGCGACAAGCCCGTTCTTATTGGTTGCAATGCAGGTAACCGGGCCGGGGCTAGGAGGCAGGTACCAGCCGCATAAGGATGCGTGGACTAGGACCCACTTTCACGATCCTCCTGAGCGTAAATACAACATTCTTCTTCAGCACATGGCCAACCACATGTTTCAGGTCCAGGAATATCCACACAGTCGACATATGTGCCACGGAATGAAGTGAGGGGGCGAAGTAAACACCAATTCGAGTTTCTGCAAACGGATCTTCGACAGAGCTATCAAACAAGGGACAAGATCACGATCTCCATTTGAAAAGAGGCAACGCCATTTTCAAGGTCTAGAACTCCTTGAAACAAACAGATCCTGGGCCATCCTTGGCGGCAAAAGCGCTTCGCAATGGCCGGCATCCTCGCGTGGGATGACTACGACGCAAGCCTCCAGGGTGAAACAATGTCGGGGCCTAACGTGGTCGATCACATGGCCAAGTATTGACCAGGGGCTCGGCTCTAAGAGGTCAAAAAGTGAAAATTATGTAAATAAGGCTCATGATACTGCATTCCCCGGCCCACGCGCGCCTGCTGCATGTTTCCTTCATTTCCCTTTCTTGACATCAACGCTGCAGATCCCTCAACCGCGAGTTGGGATTAGGGCAAGCCACTCTTGGCGCAAGATATTCTGATACCAGCAGGTCCATACCAGTCAATGTCTTGC